CAGTGAAATTCAGTCCCAATGATAAGAACTCGCAGATCTATCCCACCTTAATTCTGTTTGCTTCCACAGGTGAGCTCTTATCGAGGGCACTGATTCTGATTTAGTTATATTTTGTGATGCTTCTGATCAAGCTTATGGCTTCACTGCCTCTATGGTGCAAAATAATATGAACTATGCTAAAAAAAATAGTAGCTCCAATGAAAAGACACTTCCAACATTGGAATTATTGACTGTATAACTGGCCTTAAAGTGCCTCTCTCTTCTTTTGAAAAATGATAAAAAAAATTTAGACTAAAAACGTATTTGACATTTGATACCCAGGTTGTATTATGAATACTTTCCCAATCCATCACTGGCAAAATATTTTTGTCAGGAACTGCTTAACTGAAATAATACAGATACAAAACCAAGTGATGTCCCAATTTGGTGTAGAACTTGTATTTAAGTATGTTCCCTCTGCCGAGAACCTGGTAAACCCCATAACTAGGAGTGTCCCTAAAATTTTCTAGCAGAATTTAGAATTTTGGTACTCTGGGCCAGCAGGGATTTGCCATGACCCTCTCAGGAACTGCATTGAACTGAACATAACAAGGAAATTGTTCTTCAGTGAACCCCTTGTTGAATGGGGAAGAACCCCAATTATTTCCTTTAGATCAATTTGTCAGCCTAAGACTCTTCTTGGATGAAGGTGGTATTATTCGTTCAGGCAGAAAGATCGACAAAACTCAGTACCACAGATATGAAGTAAAAATTCCCATTCTGTTAGGAAAGCAACACCTCACATCACTTATATTGGCTTGTAATTCTAGATATGCACATTTAGGTCTGGCTTCCACACTGAATGAAATACAACTGACTGGTTATTGGATTCCTCAGGGCAGACAAGCTGTAAAGACTACCATAAATCAGTGTGCCGTATGCAAGAGATACAATGCGACACCATTTTTGTGGCCAGGTGTTCCCAGTTTACCTTGCTCCAGAGTGAACATTGAAAACCCATTTCATTGCATGAGGTAGTGACTTTGCCAACCATATCTAGGTCAAGGATGATGAAGAGGACAAGAAAATGTATTTATTGCTATTCACTTGCTGTTCATATAGAATTTGTTTTCGATATGAGTAGCTTGTCCTCTTTTCAAGCATTTATCTGCTTTACCAATCTGTATGGTGTACCTGTTACCATCTTTAGTGATAATGCTAAAACGTTTTTGGGTAGTGGTCACTGATTTAGTAAATTGATTTCTTTCCAGAAGTTTGGGTCAAGCATTATAAAACATCAAATGATCCCTCATTCTTCTGCCATATACATGAGAGAGAGAATTGATTATACATGGTTATCGGTAGAGGAAGGGTTAATTATTTTACTCTACTGACTTTAATTTCAGATGTGCAGAGAGCCCTGAACAATAGGCCTTTGACCTACCAGGGATGAGAAGATCCTAATCTAGTAGCAATAATGTCCAACAATTTTGTCCAAATAGAGGCCTTGGCTTAATGTTAAAAGGTAGATAGGGATAAGCTGGACTCTATCAAATCAAAATATGGCAGACAGGAATGAACATTTAGAAAGATTTAAAAGCCTGTTAAGCATCAGAGAATGTCCCTTACCTGTCAATTGACCTCATTTCCAAAATAGAATAAACGTGTGTGTGTGTGTGTGTATGTTTGGTTAGGTTCACTGTACTGGCAGAAAGCCTAATAAAACCCAGATCCTTCTAGATACTGGGGAGAATCCTTCAAGTATTCCCTGGAAAGGATGGATTAATTCAGTCAGCACAGATAAAAAAAAAAAGAAAAAAAAAAAGGGTGATGGTGTCATACAAACCTATTCCTTGAAGCAACTCTCTCCACTGGAACTTTCACCATCTTTGATTCATATCGAAGAGTCCAATTCTCCCTTGCTGACCTCACCCAATGCAGATACATTTACTAGAAGTGATAGTCCATCCTGAGATGTACACCTTGTAGTGGAACCCCAGGAGGGGGGTACAATATAATACGCCCAAATAAAGATAGTCTCAGGAGGCCAACCAACATTTTAAAAATAAAAGATGTGAATCTGACAGGTCAACAAGAGGACAAACAAAACGACAAACTAAAATTAATACAAAATTTATTTACATCATATACAAAAGTAAAAGTAGTGTTTCAATTAAAGAAACATGAACCAACAATGAATCAACTAATGGAGGCAGAATTAAGTAAATGGAGGAATACTGACTGGATAGAAGAACATAGATAATATAGCTGTGACTAAAGTAGAGTCCTGGTAAGTTAAGTTGGCACAAAAAAAACAAAAACAGTTCAAAAGTTCAGTTTAAACGTCCAGTGAAAGCACCAAGTTGTTGCTGGTTAAGTCCAACGATGAACCTTCCGTAGTATTTAACTGAAGTATACAGAATAGGTTGTTTGAAGCTTGGATGATGAAGATGCAACTTCCTAAACCAGGTAAATTAGGTTGACAGGAAATGCCAGAACTTGATAGATGAAATTAGGCTGAAATAGCTGTACTGTCCGGTGAAATTCATGAAGTGGTGAGAAAATATTAGCCAATGTTGCATTAATGTCTGAGTAGTTGTTGGTTAAGTCCAATGATGAACCTCCTGTAGTATTTAATTGAAGTGTATGGAATAGGTTGTTTGAAATCTGGATAATTTGGATGCAGCAACTTCCTAAACAAAGTGAGTTTGGTTAACAGGAAAGCTGGAAATAGGGACCTATGTGTAGCTGGAATTTCAGGGCTGTTGTAAGCAGCTCCATTAATGCCAACCAAGCAGGTGAGATAGGGATGTCGAAAGTAGGGACCAATGCATAGCTGGAAATAATAAAAGCCAGGAATGCTGGAAGATAAGGGTCTGTGGTTGTCAGAAGTAAATAAAGAATGCAGGAAGTATAAGTGGACAGGAAAGTTTCCAACTAGTGTTCAGTTGGCAGACAAAAAATAAATGGGCTGTAACTCAATACGTAATCTGTCACAAGGACCAGGAGCCTGCATTTCTCCTCTCTCTTCCACCCTGATCAGTGAAAAGTCACCAGGTTATTATACTCCCTTGTTATAACATCAACTGGGCTTGCTAAATACTATTTAAAAGAAGATAAATCCAGAGTTGCCACAAAGTATATAAAGTATTAAAATGTTCCCCCAAGGAGTATTTAGATTAAGTTAGTAACAAGGAAACAACTAAAGAGAGATAAGGTTGATTATAAATCTAAATAGACTTGCTATATTGAATTGAAAGGAGTCGGGTAATGCAATGAATAAAAAGGCCAAGGTCTTAAAGAAATATTACATGATTGGAGTAGCAAAGGGCTACAATAACTTTGAACCCAATGACACCATCATTTGCATTTGTATGGTTTGAGATAGACCGGAAGATGAAAGAGATATGGTTGCCTGCGATGAATGCAATGACTGGTACCTCAATGAGTGAGTGGGGCTGTTAGTAGTTCCTCCTCAAAGACATAAATATTACTACTGTCCAATATGCATGTCTTGTAAAAAAAAAAAAAAACGCAGGGTAGACCTAATTTACTTCCTACTTAAATTTTTTTTTTTGTCTGTTTGGGTAGTGTGATGAACTCTCCCTATAAGTGTGGAGGCACTGCTGTTGGTTGCTTGGAAGATTTGACAGAGTCTTCTTGTTTTTCCCAGCTGGTCAAAATTTCAAAATGCTTTAGCTTTGGACTAAAAAGGGGCCCTGTTAATAGACGATGCGGCTTTTATTGTTGTTACCAATATGTTCTGCTTCGTTGCGAAGAGCATCTTTTTCGCAACACTCGTAACTACTCTCTCATTATTGAGTCTTTCCTGTCATTGGAAGATTGAACTGGAATTTGACACCTTTTATTTAAAACAGTGAGGTAAAAAAAGGAAGAAAATAAAAACATTATAAATTAACTCTTCTCGTCTGAAAAAGCGTGCAAAAAAGTAAAAATAAAACCTAAAAATATACGGAAGACCAGGAGTGCAATAATCAAGAATTTATTATGTTTAAATAAAAAAATAAATATTCTTAACCGAGAGTATACGCTTTCAATTTCATTAAACATGTGTAAAAATGAATAAATTTGAAGGCGCTACCTAAGCAAAAATATAGCATAAAAAACAAAAATAATATTTACGTTTAAAAACCGTAATCGAAAGAAAAATATAAGTTTTTACAGAAGAGTAGATTTTAGAAAAATTACAGTAAAGTATTCTTTCATGAAATGGTTTCGTCATCGTAATTCTGAAAATGTTCATGGTGGCGAGGGGAACCAATTATGCAGGAAAAATAAGACAAGTCACAAAGGAAAGATCTGTTTTTAAAATAATAAACTTAAGAAGATAACAACTTACGTTTTTACTGAAGTAAAGAGTAAAAGTAAAACTAAATAAATACACAGACAAGCAAACAAAATATTCTGATTTTTGGCAAATATTTTTTTTAAAAAAAAAGGGAGGGGGGGGGGGCTATCCACTTACTAAAAATTACGAAATAAAGATTATATATAAAAAAAAAAAAAAAAAAAGAAAAAATTATTGTACTGTACAATGGTCTTTATTGTCCGCACTAAGGTGACTAATTTCTATTTTTAAAACATTTTTCTTGCTTTTCGCGCCCAAATCTTGAATTAGACTTTTACTTTTTTGAGTGCGGGTTTTTTTTTCTCGTGAGTTTTACACACACACACACACACACACACACACATCTACGAAGTGAAGAAAGGAAACGAAAAGCTAAAAAAACGTTTTATTTTATTCCGCTTACTTCAAAAAATATTTTAAAATTTCGGGGAAAAAAGAAAAGAAAATGAACGTCGGATTTAAAATCCTAAACGATTTCAAGACAATTAAAAACACATTTTCTAGTTTTAAAAGGCAAAAGAGAAAAAAAACTCAAATTAAATTGTTTTTTTTTTTTTTTTTTAAAATGGAAAACGTTTATTAAATTACAATACAAATCATTTCGATTTAAAAAATAAAACTTTAATTTTTGTTTCACATTTTTTTAACTTACCTGGTCTTCCGAAATTGTTGCATTTACGAATTATGCCCATAAAATCTCTTTTCGGTTGAATTTGGTACAAGTTTCGTGAAATCGACATTCTTTAACGAAAAAAAAAAAAAAAAAAATACGGGAACTGAAAATCAAAAATGTTGCATGTGTAAATAAATATGTTGATGCTCATTTATCACAATGGCATCTAATTAAGGAGGCTTATTTGCGTTATTACACTTTCGCATCACCCGTTGCTTGGGGTTTTACAAACATTGATTTTGTTTCTCGAAATTTATATTCTAATTTAAATTTAAATATTATAATTAACAATAACAAACAGAACTGTTTCCAGACTGTCAGCAATGTTGTGGGGAAGGGGCAAAGTGTAATAGCACCTGCTTATCAGCCTAAAAGAAATGGTACAAAAATTTTAAAGAGAATTTGGCATTTAAACAGAATAAAGAAATTCACAGAAAATGAAATAAATCTCGTCATAGCCGAAGTTTCGAATTTTTATGCAAGAGTTACTTCTCTTTGCTTCAATAGTGTATCGAGTTCGAATTCCAGTCGAATCCATTACATTCACTTACATGCTAATACCCTTGGGAATGGTATGAATACTCTTCTCCTCCTCCAAGCTATGGGTAAATAGCAGAACAGACTGGGTTCTATATCCTTGGATGGCAACTCGTCTACTGCAGAAAGAAATGGCAACCTACTGTAGGAAAAAATCTGCCTCATCAGTCATGTATTGAAAGATACATGATCGCCTAAGCCGAGCGTGTTTCATGTATGACACATAACTGAGTGTATTTATCATTATTTTAACACTCATTATTCACCAAGCAAATTTGTCAAGACAATATAATCATTTGCAAAATGACATCCACAGGAATTAATAAAATATTTTATTTCTTCTTCCTGAGCTATTTTTTTTAAACTAAATATTTCAAAGATTTTTAAAAACCTGCTTCCCCCCACCTTCCTAAAAAAAACAAACTGAGATTTTCTTGTGTAGAGAAGTTAGAAGTAAGCAAGCATAGTCTATCTTGTGGCTGAAATAGTTGCATATTTCCACACTTAAGCCAGTGTTTGAGTCTATGTAAAAAGCAGTCTTCAAATGTGGATTTTCAAGACAGACATGCTTTCCACACTTGGAAGGTTGCGTAATGCATCCTATCGAAAAGTGACCCAGAGTTAGATTAAAAACTAAAGCTAAATTAAATGCTTTTTCTCTTTCTAAATCTACTTACGTGATTGTCATATGACAATAATGTTTGAGTTCTGTCTTCACTTAGTTTCCCCATTCTATACACGAGTTGGTGACCAGAAACTCACGAAGTACATTTTATTTAGGGTTGGGAAAATATGGAAGTCACAACTTTAGCTTGTAAGTTGAAAAATTCATATTTTTAATAAAACAAATTTTAATTAATATAAATTCATTATGCATTCTATTTCATATTTATTTCATTACTATAGATTTAATATATCTTAATATAGTCATTAAAACATTATTTTACTAAAATATTACTCTTAATTTTCTGTATTTAAAACTACTTCTCATAGTGACTAGCCAAATTTAAAACTTTTCTAAGCTTCTTATTCTCCCTCACTTAACCAAAGCATACTTTGAGTTTTCTAATAACTACTTGTTACTAGGGAGGCACAGTGGAGTAATGGATAGTGGCTCAGTTTGAGGAATCAGAGAGCAGAGTTTGAATTCCACTTATGTGCCAATACAGATTAAAGATTTTGTTCATTTGTTTTATGTAATCCAAGTTTTTGAGGTCAAATTATCCCTCTAATGTTTATCATTTTCCTTTTTATCTAATATTCTGCTGGGACATCAATTGTCAACCCAAGGCCCAGGAAGACCAAAGAATTTATTGACTGAAAAGCTAAGATGAATACAAATCCCAAAATATGCAGACAAACCAAAGAAAGAACGGTAGATTAGGAAAGAAAGAAAGAATGGAGGAAGATGAGGAAGGAAAGGAGTTTACTTCAAGCCAAATTTCATTTGTTAGGCAATCAAAAAAAAATCAACATAACTGCAATTACTTTATGTAGATTCACCTTTATCTTAAATCCAGTTTGTTAAAAAAAAAAAAAAAATCTCCTCCCAAACTGAAAAAATTCTGATATAAACAAGTTTATAATCATTTCAAGTGTTTTGTCATCAGGCCCAGTTGTAAATAATTTTATTTTATATAACGTTGTAAAAAAATAGTTAAAATATTTTTTTTTTTAAATCAGTTGTGATTTTCTTTATACAGGATGTCAAGTAGAATCCTAAAAGATCATTTCCTCCAGGAAATGGCCTCTTTATTCACAAAGCCACTTGAAAGTTTGCAGTAAACATATTATCATTAAATGACAGTAAATAAAAGCAGTGACCAAATGGAAAATTTTATGCTACAAGATAATTCTTGAATGGATTTTTATCCATTATTATTATTTTTTTTTTTTTTAGTAAAATTAATTAACCGGTCTAGATTGAGAAGCCCTATGAAGGATTGTGCCTCCAACACAAATATGTGCCCACTAAAATAATGTTTATAGGAATAAGAAATACAAAAGCAACATTTTCCTTTTCAATGCTCATATCCCCAATGTAATCAAAGATAATCGGGTTTAAGAGATATTAACTCCAAATCATGAATCAATGTTATAAGACTTGATACTGAGATCTTTCTTTTGAATAGAAGCTTTAAATGACACTTAATCTTTTAGGGGGGGGTGAATATGCAGGGTCAACCATAACCTGAAGTAAACCAGGTTTTATACATGTGAAGAAAAAAAAAAAAAAAAGCTTTGGTAATTAACATAGCTAAATTCCCTTTGCAGTAATTTGATTAGAAATATTTAAATTAGATTTCACACCTGTGGAAGATGTACAATAAAAATTTAGATGTACTGACATTGCTTCAAGACAATTGCATACCCATTTAAGTACATTATATTTTAGTCTAATGAATAAACAAGTAGTAATCATAATCAGTAAACAAGTAATTTATCTTTCCTCATTTACAATTTGGACTACAAAATGGCCATTAAAGTCAGGCCTTTAACCAGAGCAGTGTCTTAAAATCATACACTTAATCTGGTACAAGCTTGTGCTGAAAGAAATTAAGTTAAGATTACAGGGACGGATAGACAAGGCTTAGTGGTTGCATTCAGGATATACTTGATCATGTAATCAATTTTTCTTTGTGCGCACTTTGTCTCCTATGGCAAACAGTCTCATTAACTTTATCCTTTTTAGAGGGGAGAAGCACTCATTTAGATGTACATTGTACTCCTTTTATTAGAATGATACAAATAAAAACCTCTTCAGAGTACACAAACCTGTGGAATATATTAAGAGAAAAAGTATTTTATGTATATGGTGCAAACAGCACTAAAGCTCACTTAAGACTTTCTCTAATGTTCTACAAGCAGTAAGTTAGGACATAACTTGTTTTTTGTTGTCCACATTTCAATTACAAAGTGCATATATGTAAAATTGCCAACAACATGACAGCTAATTCAGGAGTCATGCAAAAAAATTGGATACTGGAATCAAGATCTGCAATGAAGATATAAACATTCTTATTCCACCACCAATGGAGCGGACAAGGAAAAAAAAAAATCAAACAGCTGTCTGTAGCTTTTAAAAACATTTTTATTTAACACAGATCTGTTACATGATGACCTACACGGCCTAAGAAATGATTGCGTAAAAAGATTTATTTCAGCAGGTCACATTTCTGTTGCTTCAGGTGAGAGCAAAGCTACAAGTTAGTTAACAAAGGCCAGCTGGTTGGTAAATAAACAAGAGAAAGAGAGAAAGTGAAATAATGGGAGATGCTGCAGTTGCAAATAGAGGTCACTGCTATTGACATCAGAATTAAAAAAAAAAAAAAAAAAAAAAAAAAAAAAAAAATGGCAATTTTGGTGATCGAGTTTTTCTTTTCAAGGCCAAGGATTGGGGGGGTAACAGTTTATTGTCATGGATAAATGATATAAGACAATCTTTAAATTCAGACTATTGTAAAGATCATACAGTGAGAAAAAATATATTTACATATTTTATATATGTATGTATAAGGACACCAGTAAAAACTTTACAATAATTTCTGATTTAACCACAAATCAAAATTCAGTTAAATCAGAATCAACTAACAAAATCTGATTTTGCTTAAATCCTGTTTAAATATCAATATATGAGAGAGAGAGAGAGAGAGAGAGAGAGAGAGAGAGAGAGAGAGAGAGAGAGAGAGAGAGAGAGAGAGAGAGAGAGAGAGAGCTCAGAAAAGGCTTATGGGTTGAGTTGAAGGGGCACAAAGAAGGGGAGGAGGGTGATGGCCATCTGCATATAAAAGCAATTCTGTAAATCAGATGCATTCTGTTTGGTACCCATTTTCTTTCATTAGAATGAAAATCAAAAAATAAAAATGACAAACAAAAACAGCAGTTTTACCAAAATAAAAGTTATCAAAAAATATTACAAGGAAGGGAAAAAATTTTTTTTTTTTTTTAGGGAGCAGGGAATTATTTTAAAAATAAATGCTACCCCTATCCCTTAAAAAAAAAAAAAAAAAAAAAAAAACAAACAAACTTCCCAGAGAATGTTGCAAGATGTTGCAAATGTATATACATTGTAATCTACAAAAATTTTTCCAGAAAGAAAAAGAATGGTCGAAAGTTGAAATCATGCAACAGATGAAGAGTCGAAACACTGGCCATGTTAACTACTGTTCCTGTTGCACAGTATTTCCCAGCTGCCTACCAGAAAAAGAGCCTGATGAATTCTGCCAATAATCCTGCATATAAGATACGTTATTATTTATTATTGTTATTTATTATTATAATAATTATTTAAGATAAGCCTTGGTTGCATAAAAAACAGAACTCAACTGTGGCCAATAAGGGCCCAGATTTACAAACACACCAGTTGCAGGTCTATACAACATATAGAAGCTCCAGTCGTAGCCACCTGTAGAGTCGTTGTCAATTACTGTTGCTAACAACACTTTTTAATAAGGTGGCCCAAAATGTGAAGCCCCTGGGTATGTGGGGTTTGTACCAAGTGTACTTGGGTATGCCATTGGGGGCATTGTATAAGGTCTGGGAGAAACAGTTTGCAGAGGACTGTAACCTGCTGGGCTTCCAGCATACAATTGACTGCTGACAGGCAATGCACCTGGGTAAGGGGCAGTACTGCCAGGTATCTGAGTTGGGTAATTTGTTGTAGGGTACTGGGCGGTAGGGTAGCCAGGAGTCGTTGATGGGATGGAAGGCAGAGAAGAATATCCAACTGAATGGAAGGCTCCAGGTCCTGGAGAAGAAGCATATGCTGGAGACATTATGTAGCCATTACTTGGGGTGTACAGTGATGGCGTTGCAGCAGTGGGCATTGCATATTGCTGAGTGGCAGAGGGATATCTCTGTTGTGGGGTAGCTGCAGGAGGCATACCTGCTGGCTGAGTGGGAGCATAGTTTGTTGTTGGAAATGTTCCAGTTGGATAAAGTCCGGGCTTTTCGCTGGGAGGTAGGCTATTGTAAAAACTCATGTTTCCTGAAAAGTAAACAGACAAGTTCAATCAGCAAGAGAAAAATTCAAGAGTATTTATGGAAGTAAATAAGTTATGACTGACAAAAACCATATTTGGCATAAGTTTTACTTTGAAAGGCTTAAAACTAGCATGTCATCTGGCAGCAGATGACCTCTACTCACAAAGCAAATATATTAAATGGGAATTTGCACTAAAACTAGACAATTTTGTTTTTGTTTTCACCAAATGAAAAAAAGAAGCAAGATTCCCTAACAAATAAAAGCAGAACAGCCTATTCCAGAGAACAGTGGTTTAACAAATAAAAAAATGGAAGCTAGTCAAGTGCCAAAACACGGTAAAAATGACAAGTGCATATGTACCAATAAAATAAACAATCTTGTGAGCAATTTAAATGCAAAGTTTGACTTGTCAAGAGTCCCAAGACCTGTATTAATATGATGAATGTTAATCCAGAAACACACACACATATATAAAATAATGGTAAGCATAGCTTTCCAAATTCAAAAGGGATAATACTGATTAATGTAATACTAAAGCAGTTTGCATACAAGTTAAAATTGATGCAGAACCAGCAGTTTGGAATGAAATGAATGCAAAACTGTTTTATAAGTAACAAGTTAAAGCACTAAACAATTAGTTGATAAATGTATTTGAATAGACACCAACTTTTTTTTTTTTTTTCTTTATAAAACTTATATAGGCAGAATTGATACTTATAGAATTACCGATTTTGGGGCAACTTCTAAGTTAGAAGATATTTCAGGCATCATTTATTTTATGATGCAAAGATCCTCCAGTGTAAAACTTAACAGTAGGATAGCTAACATTTCTCAGAACTTAGTGCCACTTAAGCTCCAATAAAGACTATTACATAAGAGAGGGGGTCATTTTGTCTGGTTAAATCAGAAAGATACAAAATTCTCTAACCAATAGCAAAAATAAATTTGTAAACTTGTCATTCCCATAGAAATGAGTTCATAAATTTCAAAGGAGGATGGATATATATTTATTTTCACACTTGGATGTCTTGCAGTGAATCTTGAATAGCAGGATTAGATTTTTTTGTTGCTTTTTTTGCCAAATGTTACAGGAATGATTTATAACTGCTCTAAAAACAAATGCCAGCCTGAACTTCTATACTGACCTAATCTATTTTAAGCAAGAGTTTTCTTGTATTTTTAATAAAGAACAAGCAGTTCTAATATGCTGTACAGTATTTTCTTATGGCAGTAAAATATTGATATTTGCTGCTGCTGCTTCCAAGTTTCATTTAGTGCTGTACAATTTTAGTCACAGGATCTGTTCAACTAACAGTGAATTTAGAATGCTTAAGCATGGACAAGAGCAAAGAAAGCTGTACATATATGAAAGATATAAAAAGGGATTTTGCGAAAGAAAAATTTTTTTTATTTCTTTGATGATTTTTTTGTTTTGAAGACTGTAGCAATTTTTTTAAAACTTATACTTAGTGTCCCCTCTATGTAAAAAAAAAAAAAAAAAAAAAAAAAAGCAAATGATCCAAAGAAGATCAAATCATTTCTTACCTTTTAGATATTTAACAGTGTTCAAATTTATCAGCACACCTATTAAAAGAAAAGGAGGTTAATTAAGAACCGATGAGAGTTTAAAATTTAAAAAGGAAGAGGACAATATTCTGTAGAAATTTGAGATGGAAAATTTTTTTATCCAAAAAAGAAATGAAATACTAGGAATTAAAATTTCCTAACAAAGTCAAATTTAAGTAAATAAATACTTATGGTTGTCACTCTGAATTATTTTAAAAATGACCGTACAAAAGAGCTTTTTTTTTTGGTTTAAAAATAAAAATATATTTCTTAAAATAATTCTTTCAGTATCCAGATAAACAAATTCTCAAAAGTTAGGTTTTTCGTGGCTATTATTAAACAATTTAACGGAGATAATTTTCTGAACACTATTTCAAAACAGCAACTTTGAGGAAAATTACCTTTTTACAGATAATAGATTCAGTAACGAAGAGTCTCTAAGAATTAATAGGTTTTTATTCCTTTTATTATTCATTAGACACCGCGTCCTAGTTTCAGGGTTTCTTTTTGGGGGAGGGGATATTAATAGTTTAATTATTGCATAGACAGCATATATTTCACACCCCCAACCCAGTTTATGGGTGTAGGAAGTATCAGACTTAAAACCAGTCACGCCCACGGGAGCACGCCAGACAAGTGAATTTTTTTTCACTGTTTTTCTTTTTAGAGCGGGAATCACCTCAGTCGGTCGCGAGTTCTTCCAAAGTGACAGCTGACCCTCCCAGAGAAAAGACCCACCACATAACCACAAAAAGCTAATTACTCCTTGTAGACTGCTCAGTTGTGAAGAACGAAATGTATAATTATTGACAGACATTGACTCAAGGAACAAGTGAATAACAATAATAACAGAGGAAGGGGTTGCGAAATTATAGTTATAAGCATTTAATAACCTTATATTATTACAAGATGCCGCAACAAATCATCAGATTTTGTGCAACTTGCCGTCGGAAAACAGCAAGAAACTATAAACAAATTTTTTTTTTAGTGGAAGAGACAAAAAAAAAAAGTCTTAGTTCACGTTTTCAATATTCCGTTGAAGTTAAATGCTAAAAGTTGTCAGATTGATATCTGTCAACTTTTTTTTTTTAAGGTAGAATTAAGTATTTTTTGAATTGAATATTTAGGAATTTAATGTTTATTTACTTCAAAATAGGAAAATGTTCAAAATGAACAGAAAATACAACAAATTGCAAAACGTTTTTTTATCTTTTTTTATTTGAGAAAAATAAAGAGTAGCGTAGATCGATTACGTAAGAGAAAGAAATATCAAAAAGAGACTAAGGCGCCGACAAGAAATTCTTTCTGGATATTCCGCTGATTAAAAAAAAAAAAAGGGGGGGGGGGACAAAAAAAAAAAAAATTGCCGAGTGGGAAAACAAAACTCAGAATGGCCTTTTTAGTGGAGCTTCGAGAAAAGAGTGGGACATCAAAAGGAAAACGAATAATTCTTTCCTCCCTTTGAGTAAGACAACTGATGAACGAGGAAAGACTAATGAATTGGTTATATACAAATAAATTATATAGACTAAGAGAAAAATAATCAACGCAACGAAAAAATTTTACATTGGAAAAGGGGAATTAAGTCAAAAATAAAAAGAATGAATTATTCCAAAAAAGAAAAGTTTGGTTTCGAAATAATTATTTTGCCCAACAAAACTGAAACATGGCTGACATTTTGTAAGACAAGTGCTCGACGCAAAAGTTATTTTGCCATCAAAAAAACTACCTACTTTCTCTGAATACAGGAATCAAATAAAGTTTCTAATTAAAAAATAAAATAAACACGGTTTATTAATTTTGCGTGGAGGAGGAGGTATTTTGAAGAAAAGAGACGATGATTTACCCCCAAAAGACAATAGAAAAACAAGAAAAATGCAACGAATTTGGCCTAATTTTAAGAACATTTTGAGTTTTTGTGAAAGCAAAAAAATATTTTTCTGCACAATTTGAAATAAAAAAGAAAAGAAAAACCCTCTCAATTTTATAGTAAAATTAAAATGTGCCCTCAAGTAAATAAAGAGATAAAACAATCCGATCAAATAAATGATATTTATTATAAATACAATTTCTTTTACTTAAAATATTGTTCAAAGACAATTTAAGATTAAAAGAGGGTGGTGGGGGAAACTTAGTTAAAGAAAAGAAAAGCAAAAAAAAAAACAAAACAGTTCTAAAAGAATTTCAAAATTCGAACTTTAGCGAAATTAGGATTAACGATTTTTTTAGTCACATTTAAAAATAAATAAACGAAGGCAATAAGTCTTATGATTTATAAGGAACTATTGGGTTTTCTGTTATTTTATTTTATCCAACAATTAAAAAAAATGGTTAAAAATTACACAAGTGAATCTTTAGTTAGATTGTATATATAAAACAGTTTTAAAAGATAAGCGCTGATAAAAGAAAATATACAAAATAAATATTATTAAATAAGAGATTCTAGAAAAACTCCTGTCGTTCGAATTTTATACTTTCAAGACATTTTTAGACTTTAAATCTTAAAATAGATTTTCTCCGAATAAAAATATTAAGGATCACCCCTGAAAATGGCGGACGGGGCCATGTGACCTACCAATAACTTAAAGAGAAATACAAATATTAAAATATTTATTTATAAATATACAAGTATTTAGAAATTGAGACCAATTTTTAAGTTTTTTTTTTTCTTTTACGGGGTTGGGGGATGGATTAAAAAAAAAAAAAAAAAAAATACGCTAAGAAATTTGAGTCGCGAGGTTAAAAAAGTTATTTCTAGGCTTAGTTAACGAAGGTTACCTTTTCTGCTTTAATATATAAATTACTTTCTTACTTTCATTAAGTATATCATACACACAAGTAGGTAATTTTAGATATATTCGCTTGCAAGAATTTAGAATACTTCAGCATTTCACAAATGTTTTTTTTTCCTTTTTCTTGTAAATGATTTAAAAAGCCAAGGAAGTTAATTTCCTTATTTTTTTTAAGGATTTAAAATTTAAAGAGAAAACATCAAATAAAATATCTCGACTAATATAATTTTTTAAAAGTTTGAGAAGTTAGATGTAGTTACGTAAAGACGTAAAAGCTGGAAAACAGTTTTGAAAAGATTTAGGTTAAGGAGGGGGGGGAGATAAATATTTTAACAAAAGGAAAAAAAACTACAAAACAAGGAGAAAGACCAGAAGGTAAAAAACAGTATTTCTAAGGCGCAACTCATTATTATCATTTAAAAAAAAAAAAAAAATAAAAAAATAGCAGAAAAGTCATTGACAATTGTGCAAAGAAAGCTTTTTCGTTTCTTTCCTTTTTCTCCAATTTCCAGACATTAAACATTTTTGGGGAAAATCCTCCGTAAAAGTAAGACCCCGTAAGATTTACAGTCATTTACAAAACATTCCGCTGACGCGCAAGGCAAGTCACCATTGCTTTAGGTTCAGCGTAAAATTGCCCAGCTTAAAATATAAGAGAAGACGATGGGTAAATACCTACATTCAGATAAGGAAAGAATCCGCAACGATTTCAAACGATTCGAACCCAAATCCAACAATGGCTCCGATTTTTAGCCAACATCACAAAAGTGTCGCTGTAAGCTGAATTCTGATTGGCTGAGGCGCTATCTAGTGGCTGTGCAAAGAAAAAAAGGGGGACATCATCCAATGATTCTATGTAAGAAATCACTCAGCCAAGGCAAAGAATGTCGGCGCCTGTCTCTACCAATATCTATATATTTCTCCGTATCTGTATCGTTAGCAAAATTAAGTTGTTTATAACAATGAATGTGAATTGTTTCAGCTTTTATATACTCTGCTTATTGTTAAGCACCATATATTTGGTGCCTGCTGTAGTGATGGTTTTTAATGTCATTCCAATTTTATGGTTTACAGTTTTACACTTTCACAGACCATTACTACATTGTGAGTTTAAAAACCAGACTACGCCTAGTAAATATCTATTCATTTATACAGTGTGTATAAATACTCCTATTTAGGAGGAAGTGTTTGTTGACACTTTTTTGTTTTCTCGTTTATCTGTTCCTTTTCTGAAGTTCATAATTTTTGACACTTAAGTCACTAGAATAACTGACAGCGAGTAGATAATAAATAAAATAAACCATGCATTGATTTTTAACTTTGAAATAAAAATATGAAGGTAGGTATTGATATTAATTAACATCTCAATCATTAGTATTAATTTGGTTTTACTTTGCAATGAATAATGGGCAGTGTTGTCCAGGCAAAATTATTAGGGATGAAACAGTCATTTTTTTCATAGGCTGGATTTGTTCCTTTTGCATTACAATTACTAAGTGGTACCTATATGGATATCCATGAAAACATTTTTGGAAATGGTGCCATAGCTGAGACTCATTGATGATGACAAAACTGAAATGCTAAATAAAAATAATCCCAGTTACATGAAATAGGGAAATATAAAGATACATCACATATATGTGTTGTTATATATATATATATATATATATATATATCTGTGTGTGTGTGTGATATATATATATATCTGTGTGTGTGTGCAGATATGTAGAAAAATAGGAAAGAACATGTTAGGTAAATAATCCGAAGTTCTTTAGTATTTTTGTTTTTATTTTTAAAAAACAATGCTCCATACAGAAGTAGAGCTTAAATTAGAATTATTTTTTAAAAAACATGATTCCTTCGCTACATAAGAGTTCTCATGTTTCAAAAACAAGAGCCGAAAACCCTAATATAATTATTAAAATTAAATTGAATTAAAAGTATCAAGCCCCGTTTCATCCTCAAGCGAAAATTTAGGAATAACCAATCTTGAAATTTATGCATCTTTATAAGCATGTTCATTTGCAAAATTAATTACTATGGAAACGACCATTTTGATAAGGGGCCTAAGAGTGAATTTTTATCCACATATCAGTCACCTTTGAAAAGAGGTCAAGCCGAGGTAGGGTCGGGGTGTCCATTTCAAAGCGAATGATGGCATTCATGTACACACATATTCTGGTCAGTGACAGTGAATGATAGCTTTTGTACCATAACATGTTGTTAAGTGTCTAGAGAATTTTGTTTTATTTTATTTATTTTTTTCCCTAAAGGTCTGTTTCGTATATAAATGCATCGTACTGAACTACAATGTTTTTTTGACGACTTCATAAAAGGTTTTTCTATCTTACGATTGGGTTAAGCTTTTAAACCTTTTATTAGACTATGAAATTAAATTTTTTTTTTTATGCTAATTATTTAATGTGAATATTTGTTGATGTTGGCAAAAAACTGTTAACATGTCTCTGGTTTAATAAATTTCCATTATTTAGAAATTTAATAATGTGTAGTTTTTTTTTTTTTTTTTTTTTTAAGTAATGAAAATTTATTAAACCATAGGCATGAGTTTACGTTTTTTTGCCAACATCAACAAATATTATACATTGGACCTAGGTACCACACACAATTTTTCAGAGGAATTTGTGCAGTAATAAGAAAATTCTTAACAATTTCATGGAGTATTTTATGCTTATTTCCATTGCTGTATATAAATAATGAATATAATTTTTGCTCTAGATAGTCTAGGCATTGAGCATTTTAATTTCCTGTGTAGACAGGTGTTTGCATTTTGATCTTTTTTCTTACCTTCTCCAAGATTTTTTTCTTGTTTAAGGTCTTTTGGTAAGTATATATATATATATATATATGAATAAAAAATATATATTTTTTTTTCCTCACTGGTAACACAACTCTGAGTTTCATGCATAAAGCAATTGTCAGGTGCTGACTGAAAACTGACAGTTGCATAATTTAAATAATGATATTTATAAATATCAATATTTAAATTATGCAATGGACAGTTTTCAATCAGCTACCTGATAATTGCATCAGACATGAAACTCAGAGTGAGGAGAAAATGTATATTTATTATTATAAATTATAGCTTTGTTATTATATATCTACCACTATTATATTTGCACCAGCATTCAATGTGTGATATTTATATATATATATACATATATATTGTTAAATATAACAAACAATGAATGTCTGTTTGATCATGAGCCGTTTTAAGCTTTGTATAGTGGCTTTACTTTTGGGAGAAAAGGCAAAAACTGCCCAACATTTTGCTATTTTTTTTTTATTATGCTGTTCCTTGATCTAAGCTTGAGCCATCATCAGAGTGGTTATATGGGCAGAGATGTTCAACATCAAAGATGACATCCTGTTATGTTTACGTAGAAGTTTGCTATGTGATGATAACGGTTGCAGAATAGCAGCAGCAGTTTGTAAATTCGTTGTGGTTCTATGACGACATACATGACCACGAGAGAAAGAAATATCAACGGAAGCATGTGTTTAAATGCATTGTAATATGTTGCGAATGGTTTGAAATGTAATTTTGTTGAGTGTGGGTTGCTTTGTTTTAATGATCTGCTACCTCAATACACTAAATATCTATCTATCTATATATATATATATATATATATATATATATGAGGCATGATGGTGGCAGTTTGGTTTGAGGAATTAGAGTGTTGGGTTCAAATTCCAGTTGATTTTATTATATTCACTTACATGCTAATACCCTTGGGAAAGGTATGAATCCATCTCTTCTCCCTCCAGCAGAGTTCTGTAAATAGCAGAACAGACTGGGTCTTATAGCCTTGTATGGTAACTATTTTAAGAGGACAGATCTGAATTCAAAACCTAAGGAAGGTTATTTGGGGATTTTGTGGCATGCTGTGCACCAGTTTTCTGTATTTGGTTCTTCCAGAAAGTGTGCTAGGTTCTGCACAATTCTTCACTATTATAATCAAATCATCTGTGAATAGTCTGGAGTTTGGTTCTAAAAACTGAGCTGCTAGAACCTCATATGTACAAAAAAATATGGAGAGTCCTCCATATATATGCTTTCCAAACATGAGAACCAATTCAAATTTCACCATGGTTGATCTGTCAGAAAGGTGTCTCCTTGATGTTATTGGCCTGAGGAGGCGATCTCAGCATGCACCACCTTTAGAAAACGTCTGAAAACCCTAACATAAGTTAACCCAAGCATTGTGAATGAAATTGGGTAGGTGGAACTATTTGGGAGCTGTTGATGGTTGCGCTAACACAAAGTCACAACTATCCTGGGTATGACAAATTACATCTGTGTCCTGAGTAAGATGATAAACTACATCCAACAGTAAGGCCTCTGATCAGGAAGTTTTGAGGAGCATGGAACCATCTCTTAATTGCTGGTGTTCCCAGGTTCACCCTGACCCGGGGTGGTAGCGCCTGTTAGGGTCCCAACTATAGGCAAATAGTTAACCTCTAAACTGGAGTCAAAACACTATGAAAGTGTAAAAATTGGTTTTAATACCAGAAATACTTTGTAAAAAATTATTATCAGCTATAAATTTTTGAAGAAAAAAATTATTACCAACAAAACTGTTTTGAAAAAAAGAAATTACTAGCTATACATTTTTTTAAAAAAAAATATTACCAGTGATACATTTAAAAAAAAAAAAAAAAAAAAGTTACCAGAAATAGATTTTTTGAAGGAAAAAATATTACCAGTAATAGATTTTTGAAGGAAAAAGATATTACCAGCAATACATTTTTGAAAAACAAAATATTACCAGAAATAAAAATTGTTGGCATTAAATAACCCATTGAGGTTGATATGCCGTAAAACAAACCAAACTATTAACAGCAATACATTGTTGAGGAAAAAATGATTACCAGCAATATACTTTTGAAGAAAGTTATTACCAGCAATATAGTTTTGAAGGAAAAATTATTACTAGCAATACATTTTTAAAGGAAAATTATTACAAACAAAATATTACCAGCAATACATTTTTGGAAAAAAAGAAATAACTGCAATAGATTTTTGATAAAGCATATTACCAGAAATAGATTTTTGAAGGGAAAAAAACATTACCAGAAATACTATGAAAGTGTAAAAATAAGTTTTAATACCAGAAATACTTTGTATCAGCAATAAATTTTTGAGGAAAAAGTTTTTACCAGCAATACATTTTTGAAAAAAAATATTACCAGCAATAAAAACTATTGGCATTACATAACCCACTGAGGTTGATATGCCATAAAACAAAACAGATCAAAGTCACAAGTCATTGTGACTGAGGGTTTGAGTGTACTGGTCTTGTTGAGACTGTTGATCATGTCAGATAATGCATGCTCTCTCATAAACTAACTATACCTTTTCACTTTCAATTTTAGAATAGTAACTTTCAAAATGGAATGATTTACTTTGAGTAAAGAAAAAAAAAATAGGAAAATTAATCAAATTTGTACTTTTTACATATTAAAATTGCAAAGTTTAAATTGTTTTTAAAAACTGAATTTAATTTACCTAAGGGTCTTCAAATATAATGAAATATTTTACCCAAAATTTTATGAATTTAAATTTGTACAAACTGAAAATGTTTCTACTCTATTTTTTTAATAATATATAAAAGTTGAAAAATATATTCAACTGTTTCTTAAAATCCAATACTATGTCAAGATCACACAAGACTGAAAATGAAAAAAGAAAATTCAAATTCTGTCTGTCTTCGAATCAGATAGAGATTGGAGGTAAAAGCTCGACAAATTGGAGTCCCTCAGGCAACTGCTTGATCTTGACAATGCACCTTGCCACTCAAAAATCAAATCAGTCTTAGATGAGGAGAAATTTTCCTATAATCAAATTTTGAGGCTAGGACCTTATAGCCTCATGCTCAATCTGATTGAGAATGTTTGGTCAATTTTCAAAGGTGAAAATACCCAAGAAATTCTAATGGAGAGAAGGGTTAACCTTGAGCATCAAAGAGCAGACCTTAGAAATTTAATGTTGCCCTTGCAACGATGACAGGCAATGTCATTATATATATATATATATATATATATATATAAAATCAGTTAATAGGTATTATGCTCATATTAATTCAGCACAGGACTAAATGAAAAGGAATGGAAATGTAGGAAAATTGTACTGCATCAATTTTCCAAGTAGAGTGCTTGCTTACATTGAAAATAAATATTCAGAACTTACACCTGGTATTGGTGTGGGAAATACACCCCTCAATCAGCCATTAACCTGATTTAATTTATATATTTTTCTGATGTCAAAGTAGAAAATTTCCCATTAATTGAAAAGAAAGATGCAACCTATTCAATATTCCATGAAACACTTCAACTTCATCACTGAACAATGTCCTCTACATACCACACATAGCAGTTAGATTTGCAGGCAATAGAAAATAAGTTTTGTTCATAAAAATCCACAAAAATATTTGCCATGGCTGGCTCCAAAGGAGATATTCCTTAATATGTTCTGGTGTTCATTAGAAAAGGTTAGCTTCAAAGTAATTTGCATAAATCTTTTGTGTCATTTGGGTCTTAAATTGCAGAGCAGCCGATTTAAAGCCACCACTGTGATGAGGCATATTAAGAGAACATATACTTCAAGCAGATCACATTAAATCTTAGCAGCCATTACTGGCTTAATGAAAATTATCTCAAGGACTTTAAGATAAAAATGGAGAACATGGTAAAATTGATTAATGAATATACTTAAGTATAGTGCAAGTTTTTATGATAGGTTTTTTATGCAAAAAATAAATAAATAGGGGTTTGTAATATACACAGGTAATTTATTTTGAAGAAGTTAAAAATCATGCATTTTTGGTGACCAGTTGCACTAGACATAGATAAATCTTTCTGGAGGGTTTAAAATTCATGCATTTTCAGTGGAGGCAGGTCCAGGGTAAAGGAGCTACCATAGTTATTAGGCATGAATGAAAACAAAAATATGGTATCTAAATATTTGTATCAGATATTTTATGGTAAGTGGTTTTTCTCACCATTTAGGGATAGCTTAGTACAAAAGAGAATGCAAACCAGATATTTGCTATAAAATATGTCCAGGATGATGCCTGGTACTGCAATATTTGACTATGGTATACCTATTAGTATTGCTCAGAAGCTGAGGTTGTATACATGAGCTATATGAAAAAAAATAAAAATAAAATTTTTCACCAAAAAAATTCAGGGGTTGCACTATACTTGAGTATATATGGCACTAATATGTTGTTGTTATTATTATTATTAACAGACATTGATTATTCAATGATGGAAATATTCCTGATAATGGTGTTTTAAATTTTCTTTATCTTTTTAGTCAGTAAGTACATTTACTATTTTATTCTTTGATTGAGTGAGAAGTGATAACAGGTAAACTTCCATTTTTTTTTTTTTTTTAGCTTTCTGGTCTTTCATATTAAATGTCAGTCCCATTTGTTCTTGTTTTAACTGCATATTTTAAATATGTCTGTGTTATATGTCATTATAAAATGTGAATTGGTACAAAATGAGATCAAGACAAAAATTTAAATAATTTTTCATGGTAAAAATCTTGGAATGGTATAAACCTTTTTCATCCAGTTCCAAAAGAATCAGTTTTTACAAAAACCTTTGGATTGTAATCATGCACAAAAACAACTGTTCAATAAGGTTCTGTGATTTTTGTCTTTATGGTTTATCACTGTATTTTGACTGGTCCATTCTCCAGGTGCATGAAGATGATAGTTGAAAGATATCTTTGAATGATTGCAATAACTCCTCACAGAATTTCAGGCAAAAAAGAGGATCACATATGAGCATTGACAATAAAATAATTGGTTAATTATAAGCACCAAAACCCTTGGTGTTGAGAATGTACCATTCTGGTGTGAAATTACCTGGTTATTTTGAAAATGATATTAAAACATTGCGTTCGATTACCATTCAGAAGTTATGGACAATGTAAGCTCGACTTCTTTCTTGTCACATACACAGAATGTCTGCCATTACTGGCTTTGTTTACATATGTTTGCATCAAGGAGTCATGCGGTGTAGAAGATTCTCTTGTCTTGATTACTGCACAATATGCAAAGTTTGAAATGAATGCATGAAAAAAGTAAAATCCGACAATTTAAATAAAAATTATGTGCCTGAAAAGTAAAAAAAAAAAAAAGGGGGGGGAGACTTTCCCCTTCTTTTCAACAATTTTTTTTATGTCACGAAAGTTTCTTGAATTTAAAGCTTCATAAATTACATTTTAGGATGAGATTCTGTTTCATTAGTCATAAGCAGATTTATTAAAAATACTATTCATATAAAACATTTTAAAATAACAACTGTGAAAATCGTGCAGTAATCAAGACCAGTAATATACAAAAAACTGCAAAAAGGCCATTAACTAAGTAAGCTTCCGTGCATTACTACTAGAGGAAAATATATGTAAACAATGGCAGTAATGGCAGCTGGACAACACGAAAGAGATTGAACTTACATTGATAAATCGAAAGCAGTAACTGAGTGCAATGTTTTAATGTCATTTTCGAAATAACCAAGCAATTTCACACCAGAATGGTACATTCTCAATACTGGGAGTTTTTGGTGCTTATACTGCAAATTAACCAAATAATTTGAAACTCAAAATTAAATTTTCAGAATCTTTGCACATGCACGCAAGAAAAGCAATTTCTTGTTTTAAATTGCTAAAAAATGTCTATATTAAGGAACTGCTAAATTATACCAAAATATAAAATCAAGAGACAAGACGAGAAATACATTAAAAAAAAAAAAAAAAAAAAAAATTTATTTTACATTTAAAAAAAAAGAAAAAAAAAGGAAAAAAGAAAAAAGCAAATTGGAAAAAATAATTGTTTAAATATATTACTCTTCTTCAGCTTCTAAATTAATATTGTTTCCAAATTTTGCATATAACTGGACTTTGAGATCTGATAAAATGGCTTTGTGGTTTTCACATTCCTGCTCCAAGTCTGAAATCTTTGATTCTGTTTCAGTTTTGGCTTCTTCAAGTTTGGTATTGGCGGCATCAACACTTAGCTGCAGGAAAACCTCTCCCACCTGATATATAGAGGACAAGAATTAAGGAAGAAATAAGCAGAAAACACCTACTCACTGAATCAATCATAAACGCAAAAAATATTTTAATACTGGTGTCTTTAAAACAAATGTTTTAAAAACTAGCATAGTATGCATAAAAAAATGATAGCATTATTTACATATGGATTGGTAATTCTGCCCTGGATCAGAGCATCTGTGTGCTCTACTGAGGATCAAAGTGTTACTCTCCAACTATCTCTCTCTTGGATCAGTGTACTATCTGTGCACCCTAACTTATTACTTGCAATTTTACAATACAGAAAATTGGTATTGGACATTCCAATCAGGGCAGAATTCACTTGTTAATTGTACATATATTTATTTGCTTTAGTGTTACAGAAGTTATGAGAGAAACAAAGAAATATATAAAATGTCACTGCTTATTATATATGTTATGGGTGTGTAACAAAGAATGATGGTTAACAAATATAGAAAAATTGATCCTCATTAGTGATCCACTAGCATGGGTTTGGGCCAGACTCAGTTAAGTTTAGTAAATATTTACAAAAACTAATCTTACAGACCACTGTGTAAGGTTAGTATTAAGCACCCCAATTCTGTGGCCTTGTTACAGACTAACTTAAACCTAAAAATATGTACCCCAGAATTCATTTTTTCCCCCGTTTTTCAAATTAGTATGCCTGCTTCTAAAGAGATTCTGTGGCTGACAGAAGCTCAATTCAAAAGAAAAACTGGTGGCTAATGATTTCAACATGTGAGAGTAAAGCTATAGAAGAAGAAAAAAAAAAAACAACTTATATAATGCAATTATTCAAGTAAAAAAAGGTCTTTATGCATCAAGTATTGTAGTTTTTATAATGAGTGACTTGTCCCCACAAAGTATGCAGCAATTTAAAATTCTTTTTTTTTTTTCATTCTGAAGCTTCTAAATTAATTTGGGTAGACAGAAAATTTCCAGCATCAAGTGTTATCCTCCATCCACATTCAAAGTCTTAGAAATTTACAATGTTTTAGAGACTAATTATCATAAATCTGAACTTGAAATGAACTTTGTTGAAAAGTCAAATCCAAACAAGGGTAACTATGATGCTGGAAAATAATGTAATTATGATTATTAAAAATTATATTTTTATAGAAAACCCTCATAAAAAAGCTTCATAATTACATGGTTTATAGAAAAAAATATTCTGAGCAAGAACAGGAAAAGGCAATAAGAATTCTGACTTTTAAAACCGTAACTGCAAGAGGAGAAGCAATGAATATCACAGTTTGATGAATGTGATGGTTGGCTTCAGTTTTGAAAAAAATGAAGGATGTTATATTTAGATTTATCATAAAAAGCAAACAATATTGAATATGGAAGATTTCTAAGATGTTATAGTAGGTCAATTTAGATTTCTGTTCCTATTTGTTTTTACCACCAATAATATTAAAATGTCTTTTTGTCTGGGATGCTTATGCCAAATGTTAAGCCTGTTTTGATAGCTTGTCTCATTCCAGTGCAACTATAATAACTTGAAAAATGAAATTGATAAACTGATTTCAAATTACTGGTGTGTCAATTTAGTTTATATGTTTGGAAAAAGCATGAGCGCAATTATTGTTGCAACTTTCATTTTGATCATTGCCTTTCTAGTGGTAGGTATAGAAGTATATTAATTGTATATTCTCTCTGTGTTCACTTTCAGTAAAATTGATAAATGTACCTCTTAGAAATAATAGGTAGAAACCAAGAGCTGAGAAATTATAAGTGAATTCAGAAATTTATTAAAATTAGGAAGAATCTTGGAAGAAAAACGAATATAGGTTGGAAAGTAAGCAATGGATGTCTGAAGATTTAGAAGGAAATCATTAAAAAACTAATGTTTTTATTGTTTTCTTCTTTTTGAAATTTGTATTAATAAGTAAATGGGTGAATTTGATAAAGTGATTTATAACTAAAAAAAAAAAAACTTTTTTGGTGGGGTGTACTATTTGTGGATACAGTAACATCATTTTCAAAAAGTAGAACTACCACATGAATAATTCACTTGAAAAAGACTGGATAATCAAACAGATAAAATGTAGAACTAAAAAAGGCAGAATAAAATCTCAAATTATGTTAACTTTTCATTCAAATGTTAGACAATCGAATGAGAATATTACTACCAACAATTTGTAAGTAATTTTTCTTAACCACCTGAGAATAGTTGGTTGCAAAGTTTTGAAAATAAATAGAGGCAAGAAGAACTGTATTGTAAAATTGAAAATTGTTGTGCTTAAAGAGCAGAAATTTTAAAACTGATCAGAAGTAACAGATTTTGAAAAATTCCTTTTAAGGTAAGTAAAGGATATGGAATAGGCTTTTCTTCTCCTTCCAGAAGCATCAGTTCATCTATGGCATCATTCAGATTCTGCAAATCTTTCTGAAATACACAAAGCAAAGAAACTCTTAACTGAGAACTTTCTTTATGAAGTAAATAATATTTGGTTCTTTCTTACACTTTCATTTCTTGATATCAGTTAAAAGTGATATCAACATTTTTCTAGCCGATCAGACATTCTGAGGTAATAAAATAGAACTGCATCAAGTTGGATTTTCCTGTTCAACACCAATAGAGTATGGAGATTAAATCAAAATTTAATTTTAACTAGTGATCCACACAAAGAAAGCAATCTGGGTAACATGATTTGATTACAAAGGAAACAATACTAGGATTTAAGGGAAATGAACATAAACCAAGAAATGTGCATATTTGAATAAAGACAGAATGTAAGTAACATATGAACAAAATAATATGGAGATTGTCAAGAAGGAATACCTTTTTCTGCACAACTTCATCTTTTAAATCTTGTAACTTGGCATTGTGCCGAGCAAATTTGTTGATTTTCTGTTGGTCCTCAAATGTGACATGCACATCACTGTCCTGTAAAGATAAAATGAATATTCACTTAGGGAAAAAAAGGCCCTTTTCAAGAAAAATTTCAAAACTAATGACGGGGAAAGAAATTGACTGCACTTTGCCCAAAATTGAATGATGATGTTTGGAAAAAAATTTCCAAATGTGAACACATCAACATGATTTTTATTAACAAGCTACGGCTTCAAATATTTAACAAAACATGTCTAAAGAAAAATCTATAATATAAAGTTATCTGTAGGCATGTGGGATTTTCTCAAAAACTGAAAATTAAAATTATTATTACATACAGAGAAATAAACAAAAAATGTCACACTGATCATTATTATACATGATATAAATATGGACATGTACTACTTACTCTGATGCAAGATGAATAGATCAAGAGAATGAAAAAGATTGTGTTGCAATAATCGTTCAAGTAGATAGGGCTCTATACTTTGACAAATACATGAGCATCAATATTAATCATGATGGGAAGCACACAACCATGTTACTCTTGACTTCAGGAAATATATAAGGTTCTGTTCTTTAATTATAACAGATTTAACAAGAGAAGCACACAAAGCATTGAACAGCAAACTCTTGGAATTCTAAATATAGTTAATAACCTAGTCTTCCTTAAACTCATCATTATTGAAGAACAGTTGTCATCTTAGTTACTCCTTCCTGGGCCTACAAAGATGAAAGTCTAAGGATACTAAGGTAATGGTGACAAGGTTGTCCAGCCATGTTCTGTGTTTGTATGTCTGGTCTTTAAGCTCCTTAGAATCCTTGCATTGTTATTCTGCAAAAGCACATCACTTATCTTCAAATGTGGGCTAACTTAAATAAGCTTTGCTCTAAGTTTTAACAATGTGCCCATATAGATGTCAGAATTGTATTAGGGCTTTTGAAATGGATATTTTAAAAAGTATATATGAGAAAATTTTATATATCAAGAATAATTTTAGAGGAAAAGAAGTTTGACAAAGTGGAAAAAGGTTTTGTGTGACATGTTTTATCCTTTAGGACTTAAATGGACTAAATTTATGTTTATACATGAAAGAAAGTGGACACTGAGAATTTTAAATTTTTTTATTTAATATGTTTGGAGTTGACTGTGTACATGAAACATAAATATCTGCATAATGACTAAATAAAAGGAGAAAATACTACCAGAGAATCAGAAGTATAAATTGCAGACAGTTTACATTTAAACCCAACAGCCACCACTCCTACTTACAGAGAGAAGGCTGTTTAGACTTAATATAAATGGTCTCTAAGATTAATTCTGCTAATCCACTTCTTTACTGTGTTTACATCAAGTGCAGCTTTTCCATAAACATTCACCAAGCTCCTGTGACTGTTTGCAGCACTATTTTCTTCCAAAAACAGAAACTGTTTACTATTTTCAAACTGAGCAAAACATATATAGTGACATACATATACAAGTGAGAGACATAAAGGATGCCCTCAAAAGAAACAAATATCTTGCAAACATAATATCAGATGGCAGATGTATAAACTCAAAAAATCTGATTCTATTATACACAAGAAGTGTGTTAATAGAGACGATCCAGAAAATAATTGATTGGTACAACTTTAATAGTATTTAAAAGTGATTTCATACTACATAGATGTATTAGAGTAAAATACCAAGGTGATCCACATACCAGGCCTCACAACCATGTAACTTGGGGTGGACATGTGGAAGCCTAAATTATTACTAAATAACAATTCCTAAGAAAATTTTTAGCAAGGAACTTGTTAGTAATGTCCAGTAATTAGTTAATTAACAACTACATATAATATTAGGGATGCATCTTACAATTATTGACTTATTTCCATAAATGCAAATGTTAGAAATGGGCAGTTTAACTGAAAAATCACCTTTTTTGGTTTCATCTTCACATCGTGAAACTGAAATCGTTCAGTTTAGTGCTATCACTACTGAGTGACCACATCAAAAGAAACACTATTGAAAAAGACTTTCAGATGTTAATAAAAATTAAATCTTATCAACATTTATGCCATTGTAAGAAAAAGATTGAACAAAAATATGTTAAAAATATTTAATTGACTGGTTTTAGGAAATAAATTTGAAATCTATTTGTTTACAAAAGAAATGAAGAAAAAAAAGGAAATCCAACATATGACACTTGGAAATCATAGAATGTTTTCAAAAAAAAAAAAAAAAAAAAAACTTTTTGTGGTAAAATTAAGCAAGTAAAAATAAAAAATAGTTGCCAGTTTAGTCTTAATATTAAATTTCATGAAGTCAGATTTTTTTTGTAAGGGTTTTCTAGTAAGCCAGTAGTACACTAATCAAGAAATAAAGTTGTTGTAAACAAGAAAAATGAATGAAGATTTTTTATAAATAAATTTATTAATCGAGGGAATACACCTAAATTAGATATTAAGAATAATTAAAATAGTTCTTAATTTCACTTTTAAAATGTGTATATTTACACACATGTGAGTCTCTAGTGTAAACTAGTTTGTTTTCTACAAATAAAATTATGTTTCTATCTGGCAAATACACATAAAATTAGATATTAAAAAAAAATAAAGTTAAGTTTTAATCTCAGTTTTAAAATGTGTGTATTTTCAAAACTGAAAGTCATTTTTTTAAAACCCAAAGTAAAAATTATTCTTTTTTAGCCACTAGTGTTTGGTGGGTGTTCTACCTATAAACATTCTTCTAAACAAGGAGAATTAATTCATCTTATTTTTACAAATATCTTTTATGGTTTTATCTAGTGAATACACTTGAAATTATATACTAATGATATGATTATATGATTAAAATAGTTTTTAATTTCAGTTTTAAAATGTGTATCTAAAAAAAGAACAGGTGATACAGATTTGGAAGTATACACATTCTAAAAATGAAATTAAAAGCTTTTAATTATTTTTAATATTTAATTTTAGGTGTATTGCTTACCAGTACACATAGTTTTAAGAATTACAATCAATTTACATTAACAAGAACAATTTAGGGAGTTAACCAATTAAATATATGTAAAAAGAGGGAAAATTGAAAATAAAAAATATCTGGTATCCCTGTGGTATCCAGTGGAATTTTAAAATCACCACAATCTATTTCTTTCAAAAATGTTCATATTCTTGAAAACAAAAAAATAATATTAAATATTTCCTCTTCTGTAGGACAATATTTTCTTGTAACATAGCCTGCTATATACAAAAGTGACATTTTAATATCTTTAGGGATCCTAATTTTATAGGTCTGGTAAATTATCAACTGTTTGGCATCCATTTCATCCAGCAAATGTCCACGTTTTGAGCAATTATGGCCTGGATCAAAGTTGTATTCTTTGACTTCAACATTTAACTTAAGAAGTAGTTTTTGTTTTTTTTCAAAATTCTCTGTGGTAAATTCACCACTCATAACAAAATTAAACCAACTGTTTAGCAAATATCTGCAAACATCAATTAAGTCATTGCATATGTATTGGGTTGGGGAATAAGTCATGAGCATTTTATTGAAAGTGAAAAATCTTTGGGAAGCCAAATATTTTGGCAAATGTTTTAGAACAACAATTTTTTATTGATGTTCTAACATTTACATATATATATGATTTTTGTTAATTTAATTACTTTTTGGTTCTACTTCAGACTCCTAAAATAGAATGTCAAGTAAACAAAACTGCTCATTTTTTACACTTTTTGCTTTTTTGCACATAATCAAGGAGTTAATATTGACAAAGAAGCCCATGAGGTTTGTGATGTGTATGGAGATGGTGCAATGCCTCAAAGTGCTGCCTGATGTTGGTTTCCGCACTTCAAAAAAGGAAATTTTGAGCTGGAGGATGGAGATCACTCTGGTTGACCAGTTGAATTTGATGTGGAGCAATTAAACCAGTTTCTTCACAAAAATCCACGTCAGACAACCAGAGAATTGGCAGAAGAGATGAATTGCAATCACAAAACTGTGGTAAATCATCTTCATTCAATGGGGAAGGTTAAGAAATTTGGTTCATGGGTACCACATGTGCTGAACGACCACAACAAGAAATAGCACGCAACAATTTCAGTCAGTTTGCTGGCTCAGCATCGCTTAACATACGTTTATCGTATTGTCACTGGAGATGACAAATGGTGTCTTTACGTCAATATGAAGCAGTGTAAAAAAATGGCTTGGCCCCAATAAGTAAGTGACACCTTGAGCAAAACAAGACCTTCATCCTCGAAAGACCATGTATGTATGTATGGTGGGACTGGGAAGGCATAATTCATTATGAATTGCTTGAGTGAAACCAAATGGTAAATGCTGAGCACTATGTTCAACAACTGCACTGTTTCTATGAAGCAATTCAGCAAAAAAGACTGAATCGGCAACAAAGTGTTCTTCTTCAACATGACAACACCTGTCCTCACATCGCCAATATGCCCAAGACCGTTATTCAAGAATTTGGATGGGGAGTATTGCCTCAGCCTCTGTACTCGCCAGACTTGACACCATCAGATTTTCATCTTTTTTGCTCTCTTTTCAATGCCTTACGTGATGTAACATTCAATACTGATGTTGAATTGAGGGTTTGGTTGGACAAATTTTTCAGCTCAAAATCAGGAGATTTTTATTGTCAAGGAACAAAAACTTTGTAACCGATGGGGAAAAGTTATCAACGGCAATGGAGATTATATTGTTGACTAATTTTATGTAATTTAACATTGTATGACCATGACAATAAAACATTTTGAAAAATGATCACAACTTATTTCCCAACCCAATATTTTCAACGGCTAATCTCTTGTTAAGGATTTCATTCTTTTTGTCATTTCCCCAAAATCAGAAAGAAATAACAGATGTTTATCAACTAAAACATTTTCAATGAAATTAACTGTTTCTGCAGTATCCTCCTCATTTAATAAAGAGAGTGTTTCAATGGCAGCTAGTTTGATTGCAAAAACTCTTAAATAATGGGAAACATTTTGTTGCTCAACAGGTTTCAGATAAAGTGCTGCATTAGTTAGTTTTGACAACTTAAGAAATAGAGTTTTTT